TTAACTAAAGCCTATATTATATATTACTTAAATATAAATTTAATTATTATATAATAAATAGTAATAATATAGTTACTAAGGTATTTAAGGTATTTATAGTATTTATAGTGTATTTCTTAATTACTATAGTATTATATATATATAAAAGTAGCCTATATAGGGATAATTAAATTTATTATATAAAAGGTTAGAAAGTCTTAGCGTAAAATCTAATATTCTAATTAGCTAAGGTATAAGCTATAATTTTTAAGGTTTAGGTTAAGATACCTCTAAAGGCACTATAGGCCTACTAATTTATAGAGGCTTGCATAGTAAGGTTATAATATATAGACTACCGAAGCTGCTAGAAATGGCCCCTACTTTTGCCCTTTACCCAGTACATACTAGGGGTACTAAGGTACGTGCCTCCTACTACTAAGGTAGTGAGGTTAGCATGTGCCATGGAAAAGACCAACCCCTTGCTCCTCCTGCTGGGCCAACCCAACCCAACATAACGCCAACGCTTTCCCCTGTTCTGATCCCTCTTTTTTTTGCTCTGTTGATTTCTTGTCCACCTCTCGCTTCTTACTCTCGTTCGTTATCTTTGAGATCGATCAATTCCAGCGTTTTGAGACTAGCAGCACATCGTCGTAGCCATCGTTTCATCGACCTCTGTTGTTTCTCGTCTTTTGCTACTTCTCTCTCTACCTTCGCTACACGCTTCACCCTTCATTCGCTCGTCGATTTGGACACGCTTGGCATCTTCTAATATCGACACTTAGTAGTATCACGCACAAACGATCTACCCATCTCTTGGAATATAATCAATCAATATCGATAACATCGTCATCATCATCGACACTCGGGACTCACTCATCGGTTCATCACTGACCACAACCACTGTGGCCACCCTGACTTTATCTCGCTCGGCCCCCCCTTTCTTTCTCAAACCCACCGAAGATCTCATCATGCGTCCCACCTCGAACCTCCTTCAGCTGGCTGTCTGCCTCTCCTCTGTTGCCCCTCTAGCGGCAGCATGGCCTAACTGGTTTCCTCATGCCGATTCAGTAGTTGTCCGACGCGTTGCACATGAAGCCAGTACGCTGACTCATCTCACCCCACCCATAAACAATCCATTTTACTGACTCTTCTTAGTGCCACAGGAGACCGGCGTTATCAAGGCTCGTCAAGACAAAACCACCGATGGAGAGGCATCAAGCACCCGAAAGAACAGCGCCAAACAGACCAACTTGAACACCGCCAAAGTCGATACAGGGACTGAGACCGGAACTGCAGACAACACCAAGACCGCTACCGAGACAGGCAAGGAGAAGTCTGGCACCAAAACTGGAACATCTGCACCCAAGCGCACAACCTTCTCTGCCGATGTTCAGCCCGGTGGTGTGAGCATGACACTTCCCGATACCATGTACGTTCCCACACCTCTCTTCAAGATTGGTGACTACGCCACCTTCGGCTGGAACTACACCTCACTTGAGGGCACACCAACCGCTATCGACGTCCTCGTCAGCCAGTCTTCGGCAGGCGAGACATACACTCTCACTGCCAACATGACTTTTGCGACCAACCCCACCTTCGTCTGGGACACCAGCAAGCAGGCCAACGACCCCGATGCTCCTCTCGTGGTCGGCATGTACACTCTCGTCATCAAGGATTCTGATTCGGCCATCACCGACCTGCCCTCTCCTGGCTACCTGCAAGTTGAGAAGACCTTCCAGTTTGGCATGTATACACCTGCAGCCTACACACCCTATCCCCAGTGGAACTGTGATATCTGCAACAACTAGCCAAAGCATCCAACGCCATTTCTGCTTTTATCTTTTTTCCCCCTTTCTTGCGCAACTGATATTTGGAGTTATCATTGGGGGTGTTATGGACAGGCAAGCATCAGAAGGAGAAAATTTGTTTATTGATTATTGTTTCAGTTTAATCAGGATATTTCATAGCTTGGTGAGGGCGTTGACAGACGGATGTCGTTGTGGTGAAGTCACATTGCAAGGACGGGGAGATCCCCAGTTTGGATGCTTATGATGAATCAGGTTGGCGAAATGAGTTGAAATCATTTAATGACCTTATCTATTATATATATATTAATCGTACCGGTCCTTGGCTACCGATTGCGGCGAGTTTGTCTTCAGATAATCATATCCCCCTCTTGAATCTTGTATCTCTGGTCGTCTACTAAGGTTCTTATACGTGTGCAGCCCCATGATAAGCTTAGCCCGCATAGAGGATCAACTACATATGTCCTTCGAGTCTGTTTCCACATATCGTGGTAAACGTTGATGGCTTCTTTCGCCTCCCAGGAACAACGTTGGAATTCACGCAAACCTTCGGTGCACATAAACTTAAACCATGCGCAACTGAAACCCTGCCCCCCTTTCTTCTTTATCCCGCCCCTGAAAAATGCCACTGAAGTCAGCATCGCCCAGCGACGCAGCCTGTCCACCGCGCACAGGCGCATGAGGCTCTGCACGCATTCGCCGTTCCTGGTTTGCCTTACTAGGGAACGTTGGGAACATGCTCTCTGGTTTGGGCTTTGGGTCCTGTCGGAAGTACTCGTGCTGAAGCATCTCACTCGCCGATGGTCTTCTTCCGGGGTCAAGTGATAGGAGATCACCCAGCAAACTGGCGCCTGCGGTCGTGAGACCGGGAAAGCGGGCGCGAATGACAGACCCGGTAGCAACATGTGTCTTTGGAAGTCGCAGTGAGCGCGCATTGGGGAGACGACGAAACCCAGGCCATGTCTCTTCTGTGGGAACACCACAGAGCTCGAAGGTGCGCGAAACTTGATCGACCTCATTCTTGCCCTGAAGAAGAGGCTCCCGGGTTATCAGCTCCCCAAAGATACAGCCCACGCTCCACATGTCTACCGCCGCATCGTATGTCTTTGCGCCAAGCAGTAGCTCCGGAGCCCGGTACCAAAGGGTGACGACGAGTTGTGTGAGTTTCGGGGGAGGATCGCCAACATAGCGGGCCATGCCAAAGTCGGCAATTTTCAACTGGCCACGGTTGTTAAGGAGGAGGTTAGAGGTTTTGAGGTCGCGATGTAGAATCCAATTGTCATGAAGATATGCGATGCCTGATGTAAGCTGCAATAGGAGGCGCTTTACTTCGGAAGAGAGAAACGGCTCTGGCATATCATCAAGAATGGATTTTAGGTCATGTTCGACGAATTCGAGGACGAGGAATAAAGAGCTGGGGCTGGCTGTTAGCTGTAGCCTTCAACACTAGGTAGCAAAGAGTCGTGTGCTTGCTTACTTGTCTGGCCGTGATACGTCGTCACCTACAACCACTTCTTCCATGGTGACAATATTCCGGTGTTGGCAATCCTTCAATATTTGTATTTCGCGCAGGCCTGTGACGGGGAGACCGTTTCGATCTTGAGGTTCCAGCTTCAATCTCTTGAGCGCGACAACCTTTCCCGTAGCTTTGTTTGTCGCCCGCGCAACCCAGCCATAAGTCCCCTCCTCGATATCGTTTAGCTTCTCGTAATTCTCAACGCTTCTGCACTTCCCCCAGGTGCCCGCCGGAAACCGCAATAGCTTCGCTGGAGGTGCCTTGTCTTGTTGGTTTGCGCCTGGCTCGGGGGTGATCCTGCGTCGCTTCGAGGGCCGGTCATCGTCAAGGTGGAGTGCCTTTTGCTGTGCGGCCTCTTGCGCTTTCTTCTCTTCTTCAACTTTTCGAGCCTTTTCTGCCTTCTTACGTCGCTTTTCTTCCTTGAGCCTGGCGTCGATGCGGGCGTCTTCTTCGGTGTCGGCCCACCGAGATTTGCTGGACATAGCGGCCGTGAGAGACAGCGCGTAGCTTCTGTAACCAAGTAGTCTAGGTAATTTACAAACAGGAATGGAAACACAAAACTCCCAAAGCCACGAAATTGACGCTGTCTAATAGTGCCTGACTGATGTGTGAAACGAATTGGTGTTGCTGGGAGAAACGTCCAAGTTATGGATGGATAGATGGATGGATGAATGGGCAAGTTTCTTATCTTATCAGTAAATACGTAGCTTCGACTCTGGTCCAGAAAAGCATCGTCACTTGTTGTACTACCACAGCTTACATGTACATGGAAGTGAGAGCATCGCCAGCTGATTTATTCTGTAGCTAATTTAATCTCTCGCCCACGGGAGACAGGCTTAGAATGTTTAGGTCACTAGGCTCAAAGCCTTTTGCGAGACTCAAACTGAACAGTGGCCGGTGTATACCACGGCCAAACTTGTTCAATCCTTGCGTTGGCCGGAGCATCTCATCCACTGTTCACCGATGTCAAAATGCCACAGATATTGATGAGATTTTCAAGAGCGAGGACCGGAAGGAGAGTGAGAGGCAGTGGTCAACGCCATTAGCCAAACAGCTCTTTGCTGCTATATCAGTGAGTGAAACCCCTCTACAAGTTCATGCTTATGCTGACCATTCTTCATAGACAACTGGACCTGTTCCGTTGGCCAGTTACATGCGCATGTGCTTGACCGGAGATGTTGGAGGCTACTACACTGGGGCCATTGGTCAAGGTCGGGATCAGTTTGGCACAAAGGGAGATTTTGTTACGTCGCCAGAGATTTCGCAAATCTTTGGTGAACTTATCGGTATCTGGTTCATCGCTGAATGGATCAGCCAAGGTCGTCCTAAAGAGGGCGTCCAACTCATCGAGGTTGGGCCCGGTCGAGGTACTCTGATGGATGATATGCTTCGAGTATGTGACATTCATTGGTTGAGCTTGAAAGATTCACCAGCTTAACTTGAATTGTAGACCATCCAACGATTTCCTGCCATGGCTAACAGCATCGATGCTGTATACATGGTCGAAGCCAGCCGCGAACTGAGAAACGCCCAGAAGCAACTCCTTTGTGGCCCGGATGCGCCATCATCAGAGTCAAAGTCTGGTTTTCATAGCCCCAGCAAGTACAACGGCAAGCAGATTGTCTGGACCGACACTATCACGTCTATTCCAATTGGTACGCAGAGCTCACATAATGTCAGGGGTCTGGCTGGCTAACGGCAGTACGCAGAAGCTGACAAAATGCCCTTCATAATCGCTCATGAGTTCTTTGATGCTCTCCCTATTCACAGCTTCCAATCCGCTTCAGCTCCTCCTCCCCAACCAAAGGCATCTTCATCGACCTCGCCTGCTCGACCACCGCCCGAGAACACCAAACCCGCTATGGAATGGCGAGAAATGATGGTCTCGCCAACACCGCCGGGCGTCACTCACGCTCAACTTGGGACCCCGAAATCACAGCAAGATGAGCCGCCTCCTGAGTTCCAGCTTACACTTTCATCCACGCCTACTCGCCACTCTCGTTTCCTCCCTGAGACCTCAACAAGGTACCGCAAACTCAAGAATATGCCCAATTCCGTCATCGAAGTGTGCCCAGATGCCTCCATTTTCGCTACAGACTTTGCAACTCGTATCGGCGGTTCTGAACAGTATCCCAAGACCAGGCCCAGCGGTGCTGCCCTTATTCTTGATTACGGAACGTCAGATACCGTCCCTATCAACTCCCTTCGCGGTATCCGGCACCACAAGCGAGTGAGTCCCTTTTCTGCGCCTGGTCTGGTCGACTTGAGTGCAGATGTCGATTTCACTGCCATCGCTGAAGTGGCCATGTCCGCGAGTGAAGGCGTCGAAGTCCATGGACCCGTCAACCAGGGCGACTTTCTTGAGTTGATGGGCATCCGAGAGCGTGCTGAACAATTGACTAAAGTGCCGGGCGTCGACAAGGAGACTGCTGATAAGATCGACGGAGCCTGGAAGCGCCTTGTTGATAAGGGCCCTGATGGCATGGGGAAACTGTATAAGGCATTGGCTATCCTGCCTGAGAATGACGGTCGAAGACGACCAGTCGGGTTTGGGGGTGATGTCTTGGGTTGATAACAGACATTGCCCGGCCGCTGTACTGCACGCATCACGATGCTCTGGGAGAAGAAAGTCTGAAACGATATTGTAACACTATGTAAACTGATCAAACCATTGTATCCTTATACGATAACTCTGATCTATCCAAAACCAAACCCAAGCCCATATACTACACGCATCACTCACTACCTACCCACGCAAGGAAACGTTGCTTAATCGAAAACTCAGTTCAGTTCATTCATCAGTAAGATTCGATCCCTCCGACAACCCTATAATTACACAAAAAGGATGCACCAAACTTTGATCGCATGCAGATTCAGCGTAAGTCAATTGCCATCCTCCTCTTACTTCGTTTTCACAAGCTTTGCGTCCTCTTCGTCACTTCCGTCGTCTGAAAATTTGTCGCCATCCTCGCCTATAGCAAAAATGGTCTCATTCTCTAGTGACTCACGAGGAGCGGGACGAGTATTGTTTCTGGGTGGTTGAGCACTGCTCTGCGACGCACTTGAAAAGGAGAGGCCATTGGCGTTGCTTGAGTCATTGCGAGTCTTGCCCACTTCAACGTCCTCGTCATCCGAGTCTTCTCCTGGAACACCGATATCGCCAAGGTCAAAGTTGCCATCGTCATCTTGAGCAATCTCATCACTCATGGCAAAGCGGCGGTTGTTGGAAGTAGGACGCCAAAGATATGCGATCCATGCGACGTCAGCAAAGTAGACAACGTTCAGCCAGCCATCGAGGATGAACCACCGTGTCTTCCAGTGGAAAGGAACAAAGTCAGGATCGCTGGCCGAGGCAAAGGTGAAGCTGTTGAAGAAGAAGAAACCAAAGATGACCATGACACTGATGAGGATGGCCCACCAGAGCTTTCGGTACATGGCTTCCTTTGCGTGCTGCTTTCGCTCGCGGAGATCTTTGAGTGTCCAGTTAAGCGAGTTGAGTGTCCAGACATAGAAGGCAGTCAATGTGCCCGCCAGGGGTAGGACGATAAGAAGCACAAATGGGCCTGTATTCTGTCAGATACGGTCAATAAAACTGTTCATTATAGAGATCTTACCAGCTGTCTCAGGGGTGATGGAGAGGAAAGTCAGTGAGTAGACCAGTCCAAACAGGAAGTGAGCCGCTGCAAGCCATCGCACCCTAATCATGGTCCTGCCGAGGGTGTGCTTCACGACACCATAGCCCATACAGACAATGAGCAGCAAGAAGAACGAGAATGAATTCCGGCCAGCGTTAAGAATCCCGACAATGGTAAGGAAAACCTTTGAGCCAACATTGGAGCCATGACGGTTCTGGTATTCTATACTTGAGTTAGAACGGGGGTAGACTAAACCAGGGGCCAGAGAGACAAACCATAGAAACCCCATGTTATGAGCATTTCCACCACTAGGAAAACGAGAATGGCTGTGATGTAGTTTTGCACAGCCACTGAGTAAAGTCAGCATGCAGTTGGTTGAAGCGTATACGAGGTTGCTGCTTACAGATATCATGCCTGTGCTGATAGTACAAGAAACCCCAATAGGCAGCAAGGAGAGCATACAAGATACTCATGCCACCATAGAAGGGCAACTTGGGGATCTGTGTTGCTTCCAGCTCGCCATAAGCATTGCGATATTCGACTACTAGGTCGTACTTCTTTGTGTTTACCACATCTGTAAGAACGCAATAGTATCCAGTCTTCTTGATAGCATAATTGATTGGAGCCGCATCGTTGAGGTGGACAGCCTTTGTGAGGACCACGCTCGAAGACTTCTTGTCGACGTCGGGATGCAGGATGAATTTGCCAATGTCGGTCTTGTTACAGTAACCTTGCTTGACGAAATCGTCACCGCAGACGCCAAGTCGCTATCATGTGTCAGAAGAGTGGGTGCGTAGCATGCATGTGGAATCGCGAGCACTTACGTTGCCAGGAGTATTCGGATCGGGGATTCCAACGAGGTTTCGGTCCTTCCACTCAAATATCACCAGACTCGCAATCGGATCCTTTACATCGGAGTTGCTGGTGTTGAGGAACTTGACGAGGATGAATGGGTCAACGGGTCCACCCCATGAGGTCTTGCTGTACATGCCTGGAACATGTTAGATCCAAAAGTCGCATTGCATGTTGGAGGCATGGCCTACCGGTACAGTATTCTTGATAGCCTTCCTTCTCGCTCTAGGTGACAGAGACGTTAGCATAATTGCGATCCGAACGCATCGCATCGCAGGATGTAGGATGCAGGATGAGGCCGTCCGTACCAGTCCAATCTCATAAGCTTGGGTTGTCCAAAGGGACATGCCCAACACGAGCAGTCCCGTTAGGAACCTCATGATTGTTATGTCGGTGGTCGCGGCGGGAGCTTCGGCGTGTTAAGTTATGATACGTGGAGGCGACGTTGGAATCAGAAAGGCCGAAATTCAAGACGGGAGAACGAACGTGCGAGACCAAAGGGAGCTTGAGCAACGTTTAAGTGGTGGCGCGGGAGCTTCTCAATTTATGGAGCATATCGAGCCTTTCGAGAGTCCTTTCCAGCGCCGTCCTTATCGAGTCGAGGATCGTCGATATTTCGTAGAGTTGTTGGATGATACGGTAATTGATGAGTCAAAATTCAATTAGCTAGATCGAGGTTTGAAAGAAGATGCCTCGAGTTAATAAGTTAGTTACGAGTTACAGATTCAAGGGAGTACCCAACGTGTATACGTAATTGGTCACCGGCGGTGATGCCAGGTCAGCACCAGCGGCAGGAGAAGCCAAGGGCCCCTGTTTTCCCATTGGCTCAAAGGTCCACGATAGCGATAAGCCCCAGGTCGTCTCAGGCACCATGTTAGCTGCTAAGGTGCCTACAGCCTAGCGTGGCGGCGCATCATCAGTCTAACGTACCTATTAGACTACTGGCCCATCAATGCGACTGTGAAATTCCATCTTCATCATCATAGCTTCTCCCC